CTGTCTCTCGAATGCTGTTGTGAGGACACTTGGACACAGGGAAGCCTCACAATTGGACCAGGCTGCAGCTCAGGGCTGCTCGCAATATCCCTGCTTTGCCGTTTTGCATGTCACCCCCTCAGCCAGAGCTTAAAAGTTCATTATATTTCTGCCTTGCCTTGTTTCACAGCAGGGACAGAAAGCTGAGAATCTTGTCAGCAGTCACAAGGTCAGGGGGCGTATGAATTATTGTACAGCTCCTTGCTATCTCATATCTGCACCATGTGACAGCTGCGAAAGTGGCAAACACAGTGGTCAGACCAAAGGGTCTGTTTCTGTGCTGTATGACTCTATGATTCAATGAGCTTCAAACAAACTGCCATGTATAACATTTGGACAGGTAAATGGATGGGATGGGTACAGAGGGATATGGACCAAATGCAGGCAAACGGGACTAGATTAATTGTGAAAACTGGGCAGCAATGGCCTAGTGGTATTATTGCTGGACTGTTAATCTAGAGACCAGACAACATTCTGCGTTCGAATCCTGCCACAGCAGATGGTAGAATTTGAATTCAATCAAAAAAAAATCTGGCATTAGGAATCTAGTGATAACCATGGATCCATTGCCAATTGTCGGAAAAACCGTCTGGTTCACTAATGTCCTTTAGTGAAGGAAACTGCCATCCTTACCTGGTCTGGCCTACATGTGACTCCAGACTCACAGCAATGTGGTTGACTCTTAACGGCCCTCTGAGCAACTTGGGATGGACAATAAATGCTGCCTAAAAGTGACACCCTCATTCTGTGAATGATTTTTTTTAAAAAAAGGACAAGTTGGGTCGAAGGACCCATTTCCAGGCTGTGAATCTCCATTACTCTGTGTCTCAAACTCTAAGATGAGGAATCCTCATTGAAGTCTGGGGCGCACTGTTAGCCAGAGGGTCCCAGCACACTGAAAGTCGAGGGAGGTTGAGAAATGTAATTGTGGCGTTTGGATTCAGATGGGGCAATAAGGATAGGATTATAATAGCTACCGCAATTGGTTGGTTTGTGATACAGGGTGATACTGACAGCATGGGATCAATCCCTGCACTAGCTGAGGTTACTACGAAGGTCCTGCAGTCTCAACCTCACCCAACCTGAGGGATATGACTGTCGGATTAAACACACCCACCAACTGTCTCTCTCTAAAGAGAGAATGGGACTGTGTTGTCTTTAGTTTACAATAGTGAAGGGGGGACATGGCAGAGTGTGGGAGGGAAAGAGGTGATGTGGAAGGGGGTGGGAGTTGACAGCAAGCATCATCCTGGCTTGCGAGGCTTGATGCTTGCAGATACTTTCAGTTGTCCAAACTCCAGATGTACCAGTGTGGTCACACACCGATCGCTCATCATCCTCCTTCCTTTAGTTCTGATATTCTACACGTTCTGTTTCTAACTAACATTAATACTGGGTTCAAAGTGTGTCTTCAAAGTTTTCAAAATCTCTCCAACTGGCTATTCTGATTCTAGAAGAAATTAGGCTGCAATGTAGAGTTACAGAGTCATACAGCCCTGAAACAGACCCTTCGGTCCAACTCGTCCATTCCAACCATGTTTCCCAAACTAAACTTATCCTATTTGCCTGCATTTGGCCCGAATGAAATTTCATTGCCTGAAGTAAACTGTCTCTCCTGCCCAGCAGAGTCTTGTATCCTGATGCCATTTCACCACCACCTCACCTCTATACCATCCCCACAACCCCCACCCCCACCCCCCAGGAGTTCCAGGAAGATCAGATTTAACCTGGTGCAGAGTCTTCTCCCCATTAACAACTCTGCTGGAGCTGTAGCTCATCGCGTTCTTTTCCCAGCACTGATAATAGGCTTATGACTCTTATTTGCTCTCTGAAAGTGGGGGAAGGAAAGTTAAATTCTGCCTCGTATCTGCTTTAAATTTCCATAGCACAATGGTATGGAAAGCGTAGCACCACTTTGACTCAGCCAATAATTCAAAGTCTGCAGTAGGCCCACCGTGGGGGCAGATGACCCACTGGCTGAGTGGAGCTTGGTGCCCTGAGTGGGGCTGCGTCCTTTGGGCAGTATAAGGTTGAGTTTAGTGTGGACTGGAGGCGAGGCCCTGCGCAATCCCCTTGAACGTCTGTAATGCTGAACTTTTACCAATAATGGCGCCGTAAGTGGTGGCTTTGTAACCTTTTCACTGCATCCATGTGAGTACATGTGATAATAAACCTCCTAATTAATTAATTTGTAGACTGTTGTATTTTTAATACTTCCTTGCTGTTTCTTTCAGCCTGCTCTCTTGTAGCTCTGAAAATTCACACATTTTAAGGAGCACCATTCTAACTCCATGCTGGAAATGGTGTGTGTTTAATGGCTAGCACTGACCACAGATGCCAGGTACGGAAAATTTGAATTATAAAGAACAGCTGGTTAGGCTGGGACTTTTTTCACTGGAGCGTAGGTGGTTGAGGGGCGACCTTATAGAGGTTTATAAAATCATGAGGGGTATAGATAGGGTTAATAGTAGGTGTCTTTTCCCAAAGATAGTTTATTTCAAGACTAGGGGGCACATTTTTAAGGTGAGAGGAGAGAGATTTAAAAAAGACATGGGGGGCAAATTTTTTACACAGAGAGGGGCTCACATGTGGAATGCACTTCCTGAGGAAGTGGTGGATGTGGATACAATTACAACAAAAAACTATAGAGGCGATTGCTACAGAGGAAGTAATGGATGCAGGTGCAGTTACAACATTTCAAAGACAAATTGGATAAGTACATGAATAGGAAATGTTTGGAGGGATACGGGCCAAATGCAGGCAAGTAGCACTAGTTTAGTTTGGGATTATGGTTAGTGTGGACTGGTTGGACTGAAGCGTCTGTGTCCATGCTGTATGACACTATGACTCTGGGTTGGATTTAAAACATACTTGGATAAGTACATGAATAGGAAAAGTTTGGAAGGATACGGGCCAGGAGCAAGCAGGTGGAACTAGTTTAGTTAGGGATTGTGTTTGGCATGGACTGGTTGGACCGAAGGGTTTGTTTCCATGTTGTATGACTGTATGACTATGATACACACAAACACATAAGACCATAATGCCATAAGATATATGGCAAAGGGGGAGACTGGATGACTACAGCAAGCCAGCCAGTACATTCAGGGTACAATTGCATTTCTCCAAATAGAGAGTACCAAAGCTGAAATGTTACAGTTTTTCTTCTGCTGTAATATCTCATTTAATTAAAACCCATTTCCAAAAATATCATCGGTGCTGACAGAAGAAAGAAATTTCATCAGGGGTTATTAGTTACAGGGGATTGATAATGGCTGAATGTAGAAATTCTTCTTTTCCAAGAGAATTTTTGGCTTGTGGAACAAGTTGCTGACTCATGTGATGAGTGCTGAGTTACTGAATTCCTTCATCGGAGAATTTGCTGTGGAGATGATTAATTAATTTAAGAAGTTGGCATCTTGTAGCATAAGTTAATGTTAATGTGGTTTCCTTGGACCAGTTTAAGTTGTTTCAATGTTTTAACATTTCCCCCTTAATTATCTTGGATTTTTAATATATTTTCTCTCCTCTCCTAAGTGACTACATGGTTCTGAGTGGGCAGAGTGTATCCATACAGTAATAAAAACAGAAATTGCTGGAAAGGCTCAGCAGATCTGACAGCATCTGTGAAGAGAAATCAGAGTTAACGTTTCGTTAGAACTCTCAGGAAGGTTAACTCAACCTGAAGCGTTAACTCTGATTTCTCTTCACAGATGTTGCCAGACCTGCTGAGCTTTTCCAGCAACTTCTGTTTTTGTTTCTGATTTACAGCATTTGCAGTTGTTTTGTGTCTATATAGTAATGGCTGTACATTATGACTGGGGCATTACAGATGAACTAGTTTGTTTTCTTTTCTCTACATGACATATTTGTCTGCTCATATGTAAGACTGATCCTAGAAACGAAAGTGTGCAAACTTTCTGGAACAGCCAACAACTAAGTGTAAATGAGAGATAGTAGGAACTGCAGATGCTGGAGAATCCGAGACAACAAGGTGCAGGGCTGGATGAACACAGCAGGCCAAGCAGCATCATAGGAGCAGAGAGGCTCTATGATGATGCTTGGCCTGCTGTGTTCATCCAGCCCTGCAC